TACGGGGCTGCTTCTTGCTCCTCGGTGGCCCGACTGAGGGCTGCTGGGAGCAGGGGGCGGGGCTTGTTGCATGTGCCCGCCCCCTGGGCTCCTTACTGCCGGAGCTTCGCTCCGGTGCGCTCCCGCAGGAAATGACCCCTGGGGACATCACAGTTCATAGGCAGATGTCTCTACACGGGTGAACAGCAGATTAGCATAGAGGCATCTGCCTATATATAAAAACCGTTAACTTCCATTTCAGTGTGTCTGAGGAAGTGTGCCGGCACATGAAAGGTTATACCCAGATTTAAACTTTGTTGGTCTTAAAGGTCCCCCCCCCCCCCCCAAGCTCCGTGTTCAAGGGAGGACAGGAGACTGTTGCAAGGCCCTTGGGATCCCCGCTGGGGAGAAAAGGCAGGGTATGACAAATAAGGAAACACACGTGAGCCTAGGAGCCGCGGGAAAGGCGGAGGGAGACTCACGCGGCCTCTCCTTGCCGTAGCTTCTTGGCGGCGACCTGCTTGGAGCGTCGGATCTCAGAGTCCAGCTTGAAGAGGAAATCGGCGGCCGAGAGGTCGTGCCTGGGGGCGGAGGCCGAGGACCCGTTCTTCCGCTGGGCCTTCTGGTGCTTGGGGGTCTCGGGCTGGGTGCCCCCGGCCTCCTCTTCCTCTGCCTTTTCCTCTTCCTCCTCCAGGTTCAGGCCGTTGGCCAGCCCCTTGGGCTCCACCGGGACGGGGATGTACAGCGACTTCTTCAGGAAGATGGAGTCGTTGGTGTACAGCCGGTTGGCCCTCTTGATCTGCTCCGTCTGGAACGGAATCGAAACGGGGGGGACCGTCAGCAAGGTGGCCGGGGAGGGCGGGGGGGGGGGGGGACGACAGAGTTTCCTTTCCGAAACTCGATTTTAGGTGGGGTTTTATTCAAAAGCGCATGTTCAGCCCTCGTGGCTGCAAGCATGTGAAGCATAACCAAGCGTGGAGATGCATTCATGTGACATAGTTCAGTACAGATTCAGTGCGCCGGTGGACTCGAGGTTGAACTGCACAAGTACAGGGTTTAAAGAACATACTGCTAGGATTGCCCGACTGTGGGTCAGGTAGCTCCTGGAGACTTTGGGGGGTGGATCAGGGAGAGGGCGGGGCTTGGGGAGGGGAGGGGCCTCCAGAGCGGCCATGTTCTCCAAGAGAAATTATCTCTGTCGCCTGGAGATAAATCGTAACAGCAAAACATTTCCAAGCGCTACCTGGAGGTTGCTAACCCTACATACCACCCTATTATATTAATAAGTAGAGCTAGAGAAGGAAAAGGAGGAGGAGATTGGATTTATACCTCACCCGTCACCAGTGTTCCCTCTAAGCTGAGTTCGTGTGAGCTAGCTCACAGTTTTTTAGCCTCCAGCTCACACATTTTTGTCTTCGCTCAGGAAGGAGGGCTCCAGAGCAAACTAATTTAGGCAGTAGCCAAATCGCTCGCTCACCACTTTAATGCCAGTGGCTCACAAAGTAGAATTTTTGCTCACAAGAACCCACAGCTTAGAGGTAACATTGCCCGTCTACCCAAGGGAGTCTCAGAGCGGCTTACAAACTCCTTTCCCTTCCCCTCCCCACAACAGACACACCCTGTGAAGTGGATGGGGCTGAGAGAGCACTTTCGAGGACTGCTCTTTCAAGAACAGCTCCAACAGAACTATGGCTTGTCCAAGGTCCCCCAGCAGCTGCATGTGAAGGCGTGGGGAATCAAACTCGGTTCTAACGGATTAGAGTCTGCGCACTTAACCACTACACCAAACTTTGAGAAGAGATTGGATTTATACCCCTTTCTTCACTACTACCGAAGGAGTCTCAGAGCGGCTAACAATCTCCTTTCCCTTCCCCTCCCCACAACAGACACCCTGTCAGGGAGGTGGGGCTGAGGAAGCTCTTTCGAGGACTGCTCTTTCAAGAACAGCTCTGACAGAACTATGGCTTGCCCAAGGTCACCCAGCAGCTGCATGTGGAGGCGTGGGGAATCAAACCCGGTTCACCCGTATTAGAGTCCGCGCACTCAAGCACTACACCAAACAGGTGCCCTGAGACTTTTTCATTTCTCTTTCAAGAAAGTTTTGGAAGGGTTAGCCAGTCTGCGGCGGAACAGCTCAATTTGAGTCCAGTAGCACTTTAGAGACCAATTAGAATTTTTTGCAGTATGAGTTTTCGAGAGTCAAAGTGTTAGTCTGTTGCTGCAAAATTGTCAAAAAGCCCAGTGGCACCTTTAAAACTAACAAACTTTATTCTAGCATAAGCTTTCACGAAACACAGCTCTGACGATAAATAAAGTTTGTTAGTCTTAAAGGGTAAGAACTTTTCACTTTCTTGAGACTCTGTCCACAATGAGACTGCTAGTATTGTAACCTATTCTGTTTTTGCTACCTTTTATGTTAGTATTTGGCAACCTTGTGCTTGGAAATATCTGTTGAACTCCCTGAGGAAGACACTGAAACAGAAGGATATCTGGAACCTCTGTTGGAGGAAGACTGAGCACTTATTCAAAATAGATTTAAAGGAGTCCTCCCTCTTAAAACTTTTGTATAATTAAGGAGGACTGATATTAATAAAGACACTGAAACGGAAGGATATTTGGACCGATGTTGGAAGAAGACTGAGCACTTATTCAAAATACTTAAAGGAGCCCTCTCTCTTAAAACTTTTGTATAATTAAGGAGGACTGATATTAATAAAGGGGTTGTGCAAGATCTTTTGTGATATATTAAGGGACGATGCTTAGATGTTTTGTATTAAGGCTTATATGATAAATAATATATGGTGAGTAAATTGTAAAAATATAAAACAAAAAATATATAATTATTTGAGATATTTTATAATCGTCTGTAGCACGGTATTTACTGATTTTTGGTATTTCCTACTTACAGTGGGTCCTATTTTGGTTTTGTCACCTCTAAGGTAGAACAGATTTTGAGTCCAGCGGCACCTTGAAGACCAACAAAGGTTTATTCCAGGTATGAGCTTTTGTGTAAACACACACTTCCTCAGATACACTGAAGTGGAAGTTAACAGTTCATGTATATATAGGCAGATGTCTCTACGAAACCTCATACTGGACTCAAAATTTGTTCTTCTGTTGCAGACCAACAAGGCTGCCCACCTGGACTCTAAGGTGTTACAGAACTCAAATCTAGCAGTCATTTCTCTTTGTTTGTGAAACCTTGTTCACCTCCAGGCCAGTGGTACGACCTCTGCTAGTGAATTTGGCAAGTTAACTATGCCTAGCCAGGAGAAACACCCCCTTTCCCCAATCCTGAACCAACCACAAAATTACAACCTCAAACACTGCCGAGTGATCGTTCCTAAAAACAGCCACGAAATCATTTTAAACGCAATGGTACTGGCAAGGTTTGGCTTTGCTAGGTAACAGAGAGAGACAGAAGTCCCTGTTCTGACAAGAGAGGAAAAAGAGAGCGAACGCTCCGACATTGCTGGCATCCAAGCATAGCTTTTTCAGAAGGAAAAGAGAAACAGACATCAGGACAAGCTACCTAACGACCGGGAACAGATTGCGCAAGGCCGATGAGGCGTTTCCAAAAGTTATCGCTGACTTCGGTCTCACGTGCTTTTGTAACATGCCTCCTTTTGGCAACTTGTTCAAGCTCGTTTTACCTGCAAATTGTCAGATAGTCCAAACTGTTGTGATCCCACGGACTCTGTCGACATTCATCTTCCTTGTGGAACGAACTCCGTGAAAGGTCAAAACTTTTATCGAGAAAGGGTCGAATGTTTAAAGCCCAGAAGGTTACAGCAAACAAGGATCTCTGCACAAGCCCAAGGGCACCGCCATCTTCTGAGCCATCGTGGTGTAGTGGTTCAAGCGTCAAAACTAGGAACTGGGAGAACCGGGTTCGAATCCCCCCCCCTGCCACGGAAGCGTGGCTGGGTGACTTTGGGGCAGTCACAAGGTTTCACCGCAACCCACCTCCCGGGGCTGTTGTGAAGAAGAGGCGCCACCTTGTGGGGAGAAACGTGGGGTATACATGAAGCAACTACATTTCAACGCATCCTGGGGTCACGCTCCAGCACTGAAGAGGTCAAATAGGTGCAGGGGCTCCAAGCCAGAAGTAACTCTGCCCTGGAAGTCATGTATTGAATCTCATTTTGCCCTGGTCAGTTCTTCCCCCCAAATTCCAGCGTCCCATGCCTATGCCTCTAACACATATAATAAAAAGGTAAAGGTTTCACATATAATACTACCTCTTTAATGCACAGCTGCTCGATTCAGTCCCCCTGGCTCGTAGCCAGCCCGAAGACCACCACCCCCATCCGCAACACCCCCACTTTGAATAGCAGGGCCACCAGTGTTCCCTCTAAGCTGAGTTAGTGTGAGCTAAGGTCACAGTTTTTTAGCTTACAGCTCATGCATTTTTGCCTTAGCTCAGGAAGGGATGGCTCCAGAGCAAACTCATTTATGCCGCAGCCAAATCGCTCGCTCACAACCTTAACGCCTGGAGCTCACAAGGTAGAATTTTTGCTCACAAGACTCCACCGCTTAGAGGGAGCACTGACGGCCGCCCCAAGAGACTCACCGTGACCCCATACTTCACCGCCAGCCCCGGCAAGGTGTCCCCGGGCTCCAGGCGATGCTCGATCCGCCGCTCCCGCGCAGGAGAGCTCAGGGACTTGACCAGGCTGCCGTAGGATCGGGTCTTGCTCCCTTGCAGGAGGCCCGCCCCACCGGGGGTGCCTTGCTTGGAAGGGGAGGACATCTCCCCCTTTAAAAGCTGCCGTGCCCCCCACCTTTACCTTGAGGGCGGGAAGGTGGCTCTACGGGGTGATCCCACTTCTGCCACCATTGCAGGTGCCCATCTCTAGGGCCGCCTCCTTCTTTGCAAGCCCCCCCCCCAAGTTCTCTCCCCCACACCCCGAACCTCCCTGACCTAAACCCTGACCCCTGACTGCCCCTGTCCAAAAAGGAAAGTCCAGCCAGGGGGCTTTCCCCGTCTATGACGTCAGGGGTGGACCCCAAAGGATCCCCCTCTCTTCCCTGTGCCAGGACCCCCCTTTCTCCCCTCCAAAGCCAGAACAGGAAATTCTCCTGCAAAGCCAGCCTAACACACACACACACACACACCCTCTGCGCAAAAAAAAAGAATCTAGTCGTTGGACCCGACACAGAACCCAACTGCTGCGATTCTCTGCTAGACAGTTCCACAGCACCCAGCCGACTCGCGCCCCGCCCTCGCGCAGAGGCTCGCGGGAGTTGTAGTCCGCGTGTCGCGCCGAGCCACCCGCCCCTCTGCTCGCGGAACCCTTCCCACGCGAGGAGTTCTCTCTCTCCGACCGCCTCCGACGGAAAGGCGGTTTGCAAATGCAGACGCGCCGCCGAGCGCTCGCTCAGATCCCCGCCGGGGGAAGGGGGGAAAACAACGGCGGCGAAACTACATGTCCCACCGTGCACACCGCCCTCTCGCAAAGGATGACGGGAGTCGTAGTCCCGACCGGCACACACACAAAAATAAACTCCTGGATGTTTTTAAAGGGGAAAGAGCGCAGGAGAGATAAAACCCACAAAATATCTTTTATTGGTATCGTGTGGGTTGCGGTCCGGGTTTGGGGGGGGGGGTTACCTGAGAAGCCAGCACAGGGGAGCCCCCCAACTTCTGTTCAGGGCAGACGGTCTGTGCCAAGACGAGGGGGCGCGGAGAAGTTGTCTTATGACCCTAATTGGGGGAAACGCCCCCAAAGGCATGCTGGGAATTGTAGTCCAAGGGGCAGTGGGCGTGGTCCACGTTCGCAAAATGCCAAAAGAGCGCCTCTTGGGCCGAGTCTATGGTTGCCAACCTCCAGGTGGCGCCTGAAGATCCCCTGCTGTTACAGTTGGGTGTCCAGGTAGCCAAAATCGGTTCCCCTGGAGGAAATGGCTGCTGTGGAGGGCTCCCCAAACCCCGCCCTCCACCCCCTCCAATCGCCATTCATTAAGCATAAACTTCATCGTTAAATGGATTAATTTGTTAAACATGTTTAATCTGTAGAAGGGTTAAACTAGTAAATTGTTAATTGTATGAATAAAAGGTTCCCTTGCTCGAAAGCCAGTCGAGTCCGACTCTAGGGTTGCGGTGCTCATCTCCGTTTCAAAGCCGAAGAGCCAGCGCTGTCTGAAGACGTTTCCGTGGTCGTGTGGCCGGCATGACGCACGGAACGCTGTTCCCTTCCCACCGAAGCGGTACCTACTTATCTACTTGCAATTTCTTGCTTTCGAACTGCTAGGTTGGCAGGAGCTGGAACTAGAGACGGGAGCTCGCTCCATCATGCGGCACACTCAGGTCTCGAACTGCTGAACTACCGACCTTCCACAGCCTGCAGTTCAGCGTCTTAACCACTCGAGCCACCGCAGCTCCAAGAATGGTTAATAGTAGATTGTTAATTTTATGAATTAGTGCTGTTCAAAATTGGTAGATTTGTGGTTCAGTATCGGTTATGTTGTAACAGCGTTCCGTGCGCCGCCTCGGCGTCTAGTCACCACACCGGCCACATTGAGCACGGAGACGTCTTCGGACAGCGCGGGCTCTTCGGCTTGGAAACGGAGACGAGCACCACCGCGCCCCTAAAGTCGGATGCGACTGGCTTTCGAGCAAGGGGGAAACCTTTACCTTTGCCTTTTATGTTGTTAGAGGGCTAAATTACTAGAATATGTAGATGTATTTGGTTTTTACTTTTCTCCATGTATTTGTAATTTGGAAGATACAGGTAATTTGTAACAAACTGTATGTATGTTGAAAAGTTTCTTAAAATAAAAATCTATCTCCCACCCCCCTCCCCAAAAAAACTTTTTCCCCCAGTCTCCCGGTATTTCCCAACCTGGTAAACAACCCCTCTGCTAGATTCCAGAGGCCCCTTTAAGATCAACGCAGTTTAGTTCTGCGCATAAGCTTCCCCCGCACATGGTCTTAAAGGGGCCACTGAACACTCAAACTTCGTTCTAGGGCAAGTTCTTCTTTGAGTCCGGTCAGGCCCCTTTAAGATCAACAGAGGGCAGATTCTGGTAGGTTATTGGTCGCGCTACTGGCCGCGAAGCACACTGGGAAACAGAGTCCTGGCTCTGGGAGACGCCGTCAAGACCTTGCTGGGGAACGCAGCACTGTGGCCATCCACCCCAAAGGCACGCTGGGAAATGTAGTGTGTGCGGCCTGATTGGTGGTTGGAAGGGGCTGGGCGGCAAGGGGCATGCCGGGAGTCGTAGTCCTTTGAGGACTGGCACAACCCGCAGGGCAAGCAGGCGGGCAGGCGGGATGTCGTTCAAGAGGGAGGGAGACGATTCCAGCCAGCTCAATGTGCTCAAGGTGAGTGGCAGAGGGTTAAGGGGGCTGCCGTTGCACCGTTTGGTGCTTTCAGAAGGTCCCAGGGCCCAGTAGGAGCTTTTTTTCCTCCAGGGCTGCCCATCTCAAGGTGGGGCCTGGAGATCTCCCGGGATTGCAACTGATCCCTGCACTGCAGAGGTCAGTTTCCCTGGGAGACACTCTGGCTGAAGCCCCTTCCTTCCCCAGTCTCCAGCCCCAAATCTCCAGGAAATTCCCAACCCTCTCCTCCCTTTCATCCTCACAGCAGCCCTGCGAGGTAGACTAGGCTGAGAAGGCGTGACTGGCCCGAGGGCACCCAGCGAGCTTCCTTGGGATTTGAACCTGGGCCTCCCAGATACTAGCCTGGCCCTCTTATAGAATCATGGAAGGGACCCCCCAAGGCCATCTAGTCCAACCCCCTGGACAACGCAGGATATTCACAAAGCCCTCATCCCCGCAGGAGTGGATTAAGGCTCACTGGTGCCCTAAGCACTGACCAGTCTTGGTGCCCCCAATCTTGGTGTCATAGCCTATGACACTGCACCTCGCCAACAAAAAATAGAAGATAACCCTAGGGTGCACCGTGATCAGTGTGCACTCGTTTTATCAAACAATTTTTTTTTACAAATCTTCATTTGTGGGTTTTTTCCCCCCACCCTTTTCCCAACTTTGTGGTGCCCCCTTTTGGCCCTGGAGCCCTAAGCACCTGCTTCCTCTGCTTCATGGTTACTCTGTCCCTGCCTCCCCCCATACCCCGAGTGACCCCTGCTCTATGCGGAGAAGAGGAGGAAGAGCCCTCCAGGAGCCTCTGGTCTGGAGAACAATTGCATCCTGACCCCAATTGCTTCTTAACCACTTACACCACATTAGCTTTCTTTTGGAAACCTAGGGTTGCCATTGTCCGGGTGGGAAATACAAAAACTGAGGGTCACAGTGTTAGGAAGGTATGCAGAAGTATATAACACTTTGCATAATAGATGTGTAAGGTAGATCAATTTTGTGCTTTTTAAAAAACAATCTATGTTATATAAATATTAGTGTCAAATATTATCAAAAACTGGTTTCACCCAAGCAATACGTCAAAGTGCAGGTTTATATTCTGTTCAGATATTCAGACAGTACCTTGTCAGCTTCACAGTCACTAGTTCCGGGGGGGGGGGGGAAGAGGAGGAGGAGGAGGAGGAGGAGATTGGATTTATACCCTGCCCTTCACTACCCAAAGGAGTCTCAGAGCAGTTTACAATCTCCTTTCCCTTCCCCTCCCCACAACAGACACCCTGTGAGGTAGGTGGGGCTGAGAGAGCTCGGACAGAAACTGCTCTTGAGAGAACAGCTCTGACAGAACTATGGCTTGCCCAAGGTCATCCAGCAGCTGCGAGTAGAGGAGTGGGGAATCAAACCCGGTTCTCCCAGATTAGAATCCACGTTCCTCATCACTACAGCAAACTGGCAATGCTCAACAAGGAAGCCATGTCCTATTTATTGTTAAACTCTCTTCTTTCCTGTTGAAATTATGTTTATGTTTGTGAATTTCAGTGACCTCCCTGTGTAATCTGACATGGGAATTGAAAGTGTTGTCCAACCTTTCAGTGTCTTGGAACAAAATACTGTGTCCTGTTTGAGTTAGGCTATGTTCAGCCATTGCTGATTTGTCCTGAAAAACACAAAAAGGCTCTACATCAGGCAATAGCACTACAGATAAGATTAGAATTTCAACGACCTCCTCAGGAAGCAGGGAACCTCCTCGGGAAACAAAAGAACCTCCTCAGGAAAGCTCCTCCATTAGCATGTCCATAGCCTGGGGAACTCCTACAAGACAATGACTCAGCCCTTATAAATTACCTGCCTACCATTTTTCTTCTCACCTCGACACAGAGAGGATTCCATCTTTCTGTGTTACACCTCTGAGGATGCCAGTCACAGCTACTGGCGAAACGTCAGGTCCTACAATGCCAAGACCACGGCCACACAGCCCGGAAGATCTACAGCAACTAATGAACTCCGGCCATGAAAGCCTTCGATAATGTTCTTGAGGAGGTTTGCACGTTCTTGCCAGCTGCGGTCTAAGTGTCACTTTTCTATTCTTTTCTTCCAGAAAAGAAGAGTGGCTGATCTTCTGGCTCATTACATCGCGGAGGACGAAGCCTTGCTCCTGAGAGACGGCAGGTCAGAGCGGGGGGGGGGCGGACCCGATCTCGGTTGCTCGTTAAGCACAGACAGATGCAGGCAGAGAGTCAGCAGCGCTGCCGTAGCGATCCGCACCTGGAGGGCCCTGAACAGTGTTCCCTCTAAGCTGAGTTAGTGTGAGCTAGCTCACAGATTTTTAGCCTCCAGCTCACATATTTTTGTCTTAGCCCAGGGAGGATGGCTCCAGAATAGAGATGTAAAATTTCCAGAAATTTTGAAGCTCGGAAAAAAAACCCGGGTTTTTTTCCATTTTTTTTTGGGGGGGGGGGACGGAAATTTTCGGGAAAATTGAAAAAAATGCTACATTAGCATTTCTTTTCTCTTTTCTAGATTGAAAGTCATTCTGTTACTTTAGGAACATAAGATATGACTGTGGATAATTTCTACTTGGCATGAAATTATCACAACTAGCATATTAAAAATATAGTGTATCCAAACAATTATTGCAATTAAATATTTTCCAAATAATTTCTAAAAAATACGTATGGTATCAGATTGATCTAATTTCTGTGCACTGAGGACAAGCAAGTCCTAGGTTACAAACTGAACTCTCCAATGCAAGAACAAGATGCATTTCTTCCTTTAGGAGGGGCTATTGTCACAAGAAAAGGAAAAGGTTTCAGTTTTGTTTTTGCACGTGGGTGGGTATTCTGTTTGTAATCATTGTTGGGATACACTCTACTTTTAATAGGCTTGTTGTGATAATCTCATGCCAAGAAAAAATGTCCATAATCATATTTTATGTTCCTAAAGTAACAGAATGACTTTCAATGTGGAAAAGAAAAAAGAAGTGCTAATGTAGCATTTTTTTTCCAATTTTCCCCGAAAATTTCCGTTTTTCCCCTGGGGGGGTTTCCGAGCTTCAAAACTTCCAGAAATTTTACATCTCTAGCCATCCCTTCCTGAGCGAAGGCAAAAAAATGTGTGAGCTGGGGGCTTAAAAACTGTGAGCTGGCTCACACGTGACGCAGCTTGGCCGACCGCTGAGACAGCTCCATGATATCTTCGCGGCTTTCAAAAGATGTGCTTGATAGGGAGGGGAATCTAAATGCGCTGTTGTGGCTGTGCATCTCACTGGCGTCACGGGGTCCCCGCGTTCTGTCAGTGCGTGGCGTCTGAGTCACATTCCCTTTGCTGTTTCCCCCTCCTTGCAGATACGCCTGCACCGTGTGCTTCCACAGGCCCGTGTTTGATACTCTGGACATGCTCACCGTCCATCGGTCGGGAAAGAAGCACCTTGCCAGTAAGTCTTCTCGAGGCCTGCGCCCACGCGGAGCACAGAGGGCAATTGTCAGGTAGCCCTGTCATAGATCTGGGACGTGGAGGGGTGCCTTCCTCCTTGTTCTCAGCTCTTCCCTGTCCTGCTTGCGTGTGCTCTCTCATGCTTGACCTTGCTGTCTCCAGCTGCAGTTTACTCGGCTGGGAATGTTAACGGTTTTTACGCTTCGCTCACTTGCCCGCTTGCTTTCGCCTGCGCGGGCAAACTATAACCATTGGCTTGTCCTCACAGGGGGGATGTTTGATTCTACTATAAGTCAGAGGCCCTTATAAAAGGTAAAGGTTCCCCTGCGCGAAAGCCAGTTGAGTCCGACTCTAGGGTTGCGGTGCTCGTCTCCATTTCAAAGCCGAAGAGCCAGCGCTGTCCGAAGACATTTCCGTGGTCATGTGGCCGGCATGACTAAACACCAAGGCGCACGGAATGCTGTTCCCTTCCCACCGAAGTGGTGCCTATTTATCTCCTTGCCATTTCTTGCTTTCGAACTGCTAGGTTGGCAGGAGCTGGAACTAGAGACAGGAGCTCACTCCGTCATGCGGCACACTCGGGTCTCAAACTGCTGAACTACCGACCTTCCACAGCCCGCAGTTCAGCATCTTAACCACTTGAGCGTATAAGTCAGAGGCCCTTATACTGACGGCTATTCCTGACACAATCTGTACACGTGTTCTTCAGTACTGGAACCACTAATAAACAGCTATCTTCTTATGAAGCCCTGTGTGGTGTGACCTAAGTACCCTGACAGCAACTCGTCTTTCTGAGGGTGAACCGCAGAGTCCTTGGCTGAGCAGAGGTTTGAACCCAGGGCGGTGTGGGATCCGGCGTTCTGCTCCAGCGTCTTTCTCTCTCCTCCTCTCTCTTTTTTTTCTGCTAGGCTTGCAGAAGTTCTACGGAAAGAAACGTTCCCTCGAGGACGAAGTACAGAAACGCCAGCAGCAGGCGTATCTCCGGGTTGAGGAAACAGGCGCCCAGGTGGGTCTTGGGAGCCTCCTGATGCTCCTCTACATTCGGGAGCCTCCTGATGCTCCTCTACATTCCCCGGCTGAGTAACAGTCAGAAGGGCAAGAGGAAGGAGCTGTAGCTCAGTGGCAGAGCCTCTGCTTGGCATGCAGGAGGTCCCAGGTTCAATCCCCGGCATCTCCAGTTTTAAAAAGGACCAGGCAGGAGGTGATGGGAAAGACCTCAGCCTGAGACCCTGGAGACATGTAAAGAGGGGCTGTGGCTCAGTGGCAGAGCCTCTGCTTGGCAGGCAGATGGTCTCAGATTCAATCCCCAGCAGCATCTCCACTTAAAAGGACCAGGCAGTGGGTGATGGGAAAGACCTCCACCTGAGACTCTGGAGAGCTGTAAAGAGGGGCTGTGGCTCAGTGGCAGAGCATCTGCTTGGCATGCAGAAGGTCCCAGGCTCAATCCCTGGCATCTCCAGTTTTAAAAAGGACCAGGCGACAGAGGCATCTTGCAGTTTGATGTTAATGGTGAGGAGCACGGACTCTAATCTGGGAGAGCCGGGTTTGATTCTCCACTCCTCCACTTGCAGCTGCTGGTGTGACTTTGGGTCAGTCACAAGTTCTCTCAGAGCTCTCTCAGCCCTGCCTACCTCACAGGGTGTCTGTTGTGGGGAGGGGAAGGGAAAGGAGATTGTCAGCTGCTCTGAGACTCCTTCGGGTAGTGAAGGGCCATGGGGTATAAATCCAATCTCTTCTTCTCCTACCTCCTTCACTCGGAATTCACTTGTTGTGTAGCTTCCCCCAGATCCAGTCCACCTAAGCTCTGTGGTCCTTTCCTGTGTTCCTTCTATGTTTCCTGCCAGTGGTCCTGATCCCAGTGTGCTTTGGCTGGCACTTCCTGTTTCCTGTTCAGGGCAAAAATCCCCACCCCACCTGTGCCAAGTAAACGCACTCTACCCCACCAAGGCGGACGAGTAAAACCGTCCCATCCAAATGGCAGCTTTCAGATGGGACCAGGAAGTCCGTGACACTCGTGCCGCTGTGACTTCCTGCTCCGCTCTGTGCCCAGAAGGGCCGCCAAGTTCACGTGCCGGTTTGCTTTTGTGGAATCGGCCCCATTTGTCTCGTACGGAGTGGAGGCGTTTCAGTGGGATTAATTTCCGTGCTAGATCGTGGCCACTGTATTTCATAGAACCATAGAATGTTAGAGTTGGAAGGGACCTTGCAGGACATCTAGTCCAACCCCCTGCACTCTGCAGGAGCAGAGCCGAAAGATAGCCCTACAACATACCCGAAAGAGGGTCATCCAACCTCCTCTTGAAAACGTCCAGCGAAGGAGCATCCACCACCTCCCGAGGCAGACTGTTCTACTGCTCAACCACTCTTACACTCAGGAAGTCTCTCCCAATATTTAGCCTGTAACGACTCCCTTGTCATTCCCACCCATGTGATCTAGTCTTGTGATCCAGAGCAAGAGAGAATATATCCGCTCCATCTTCTACATGACAGCCCTTCGGATACTTGAAGACGGCAATCGTGTCCCCTCTAAGCCTTCTCTTTCCCAGGCTAAACAGACCCGACTCTTTCAGCCTTTCCTCCTAAGACGGATTCCAACCCTCTCACCATCCTAGTTGCCCTCTTCTGGACACGCTCGAGCTTGTCAACCTCCTCCCTCAAATGTGGTGCCCAAAACTGGACACAGGACTCCAGGTGAGGCCTGACCATAGCAGAATCGAGCGGAACGACCACCTCCCTTGATCTGGACACAAGGCTTCTGTTAACACATCCTAAGATTGCACTCGCTTTCTTCGCAGCCACATCACACTGCAGGCTCATGTTTAGCTTGTGATCAACCAGAACACCTAGAGCCCTTTCACAGGTGCCGCTGTCAAGCCAAGTCCCTCCCGTTCTATATCTGTGCCTTTGATTTTTTGTATCTAAGTGTAGGACTTTGCACTTATCTCTACTGAAATGCATTTTATTTGTCTCCGCCCACTGTTCCAGCCTATCTAGATCATTTTGAATCCTGACTCTGTCTTCTTCGGAATTAGCAACCCCACCCTTTCCTTTCCCTAGGCTGCTCCAGGCCCCGCTCCTTTACTCCTGCAGACCAAGAAAATCACCCAGAATGCTTTGCTGAAAACTGCGCCCTATAACAGCTGCTGTCGACGGAACAGGTAACTCTCTTGGATGTACCCCTATCGGGAGAGCTTAGCAAGAGGTCCGTTTATGGGAGCTGTACAGCCACTTAGCTTTAGTCCTTCCATCTGCATTATGGGACCAATAAATCTGGGCTAATTTACGGGGCTGTTGGAAGGATTACAGACAGTCATGTGTATGGCCCACTACTTGTGCTAAACATGTAAATGCTAAGTATTATTGGCAGCGAGTCTGTTTCCAGGTTCAGTTCATTTCAAGGTTCTGGTTAAAGCCCTCCGTGACCTGGAACCCACATAATTGAAGGACCGTCTCCTTCCACATAGAATCATAGAGTCGGAAGGGATCTCCAGGGTTATCTAGTCCAGTCCCCTACACAATGCAGGAAATTCACAAATACCTCCCCCCCCCACGGCCATAGCTCCATGACCGGAAGATGACAAAAAACCTCCAGGATCCCCAGCCGAACTGCCTCCTGACCAGTGTTCCCCCTAAGCTGAGTTCGTGTGAGCGGGCTCACAGTTTTTTAGCCTCCAGCTCAGATATTTTTGTCTTCGTTCAGGAAGGAGGGCTCCAGAGCAAACTAATTTATGCAGTAGCCAAATCGCTCGCTGTCACGGCTCAGGTGGGGTGGTCACCTGACGCTGCCACCACTCTGGATTTAGGTTCCCTTGAGAAGGCCCGGAGCCCCCTCCCAAGGCCTTCAGACCTCCCTTTAGGCCGAATAACAGGCGTGAGGACCAGGCAGAGTGAAACAAGGAAAAGGTTTATTTTATAGGAGGTCAAACAACAAGGTGCAGAATAATAACAGTAAGTGAGTGAAAAGAAAAGAAATCAAATGCCCTAACGCGTCTAAATATATACTGTCCCTAGCTCACTATTCCAAGTGGCACTAGACTACTCACCCTTCCCTCAGGATGAGGGTCTCTTCCCCACAGCAGCCTCAGTCCCTTCTGGCTCTGCCCTCTGGGAAGAAGAACAGCTTTTCCTGCTGCTCCAGATCTTTTATTCCAAGCCCTCCTCTTTTCCTATTGGTCCATTTTGGCTCCAAAACCTCTAAGGGGCTTCTGGGAGTTGTAGGCCCAGCCTCACCTACTGCTAGCCAGGCTCTCTGGGCCTAGTAGGTCTCTGGTGGCACAGCCCAGATCATGACACTCGCTTACAACTTTAATGCCAGTAGCTCACAAAGTAGAATTTTTGCTCACAAGACTCCACAGCTTAGAGGGAGCATTGCTCCTGACCCCAAAGTGATGTGTAAGAAAGGGCCACGAGAACTAAGCACTAGGGTTGCCAAATAGAAAAATCTTACCGGCGGGGGAGCATCCTGTCGCTCCGGGAGCCGGCCGGGGACGTAAGCGCACGCGCGCTTCCAGAGTGACACTGGAAGTGACGTCACACTCTGGGCGGGGCCATGCCATTTGTGGGGAAAACAAAGAGTTTTGTTTTCCCCTCAAATGGCGTCGCCCCGCCCCCAGCGTGCGATGTCACTTCCGGGTGACGCACACGCGGGGGTGGGGTTTCCCCCGGGCCCCGATTCCGTGGGAGCGGGAATCGGGGCTCGAAACCGGGGGGAATTCTGCCCCCCGGGGGGATTTGGGAACCCTACTAAGCACTAAGGCAGCCCTTCCCGCCCTCCCTCTCATGATCTGCCTAAGTTCACAGAATCCGCATGGCTGTCCGATGGCCATATAGCCTCTGCTTGAAAACCTCCAGAGAAGGAGAGCCCACCACCTCCTCCCGAGGGAGCCTGTTCCCCTGAGGAACTGCTCTAACCCCTCTAACTAGAGAGCCAGTTTGGTGTAGTGGTTAAAGTGCGCAGACTCTAATCTGGGAGAGCTGGGTTTGATTCCCCACTGCTCCACTTGCACCTGCTGGATGACCTTGGGCAAGCCGTAGTTCTGACAAGAGCTGTTCTTGAAAAACAGCCGTTTCTGTCAGAGCTCTCTCAGCCCCACCTACCTCACAGGGTGTCTGTTGTGGGGAGGGGAAGGGAAAGGAGTTTGTAAGCTGCTCTGAGACTTCTTAGGGTAGTGAAGGGCGGGGTATAAATCCAATCTCTTCTTCTTCCTCTTCTCTTTTCCACGTTCTCATTCAACTCGCTATTAAGTTCCTGTTTCTTGGGGGGAGGAGTGTTTCTGTTCCGAATAGATTCAGTATTACATCCTTGTATGTCAGGCGTCTCTCCCTGCAGATTTGAACTGCAGGTTTTTATACTGGACATAAATCAGTGTAATATCAAATCAACCACCGGAGGAAGGAAAACACGTGTGGAACAGAACAACGACAAGGAAGAAACAGGAACTTAGAAGCGAGAATGCAGAATAGCCCAGTGCGAGCCACCAGGAAAGACAGGATATAAATGTGTTAACAAATATTTAAATTGTCTCTGTTGCCCTTGTGAGGTATAGGGATGCTGCTGCTGTCTCCATGGTGACGTGACTGCAGCTCCCTTTGATCTTTTTAAACAAATATATATTTATTGATTTTCAAGTAAACACACAAACAGACAAACAGACAACAATAGAATTCATCATAAATCACCAAGGTACAGTCAACACAGTAACACATCCAAATTAAACTTGTTCTACAATTTGAGTAACTCACAAGTCTTCGCTTATATCAGACTAGTAAAATTGTCAGTTTCAAACATTTGCATATATTTTTAATCCATTTACACAGATGGACGGCTTCAAAAGGGAATTAGATAAGCATATGGAGCAGAGGTCCATCAGTGGCTATTAGCCACAAGGTATCGATAGGGACTCTGGGCCAAGTGATGCTCTGTCTTCTTGGTGCTTGGGGGGGGGTCAACAGTGGGGGGGCTTCTAGTGTCCTGGCCTCACTGCTGGACCTCCTGGTGGCACCTGGTATTTCTGGCCCCTGTGTGACACAGAGTGTTGGACTGGATGGGCCTTTGGCCTGATCCAACATTGGCGTCTCTTATGTTCTTATGTAATCTGATCTGATGTATTGTTTGGGACAGGCCTGCCGCAAATGACCCTGGCTCGGGCTGTTCAAGGGCCGGTCCTGACATCAGAGCCACAGAGAGGGCAGAGCTGTGCAAACCCAGCAGTGCGACACAGATGGACAGAGACGGACCCATCGGGGTGGACGCCACTCCCAGCGCGCATCTCCCTGGATCTGCTCACACAGCCGCAGGTGAAAGGGGTGTTGGGATAGGCCGGGGCGGAGGGAATGCCACCTGCCCGGCAGGGGCCAGGATTCGGTGCCGAACAAGATCCAGCCATTTTCTTGGTCCGTTTGAGAGCCAGTGTGGTGTAGCGGTTGAGAGTGTCGAACTAGTATCTGGGAGATCCAGGTTCAAATTCCCACTTGTGCCATGGGAGCTCGTTGGGTGACCTTGGGCCAGTCACACACTCTCCACCTACCTCACGGGGTTGTTGTGAAGACAACAGGGAGGAGAGGAAAATGACACGGGACACTATGTGTCCCCATGGTGAAGAAAGGCAAGGGTATAAAATAAATAAATACATAGGTTTCTTCATGTTAGAACATAAAAGAAGCCATCTTGGATCAGGCCAGACTGGCCAGTGGCCCATCCAGTCCAACACTCTGTGTCACACAGCGGCCCAAAGTAGCAGGTGCCATCAGGAGGTCCAGCAGTGGGGCCAGAACTCCAGAAGCCCTCCCACTGTTGCCTCCCCCCAAGCACCAACAAGACAGAGCATCACTGCCCCAAACAGATTTTTCCACCTAGACCTTGCTCTTAAAAACCTCTGCTCTTAAAAGACCTCTGCTCTTAAAAACATGAGAAGCCAGTGTTGGGTCAGGCCAGTGGCCCATCCAGTCCAACACTCTTGTGTCACACAGCGGCCCAAAGTACCAGGTGCCATCAGGAGGTCCAGCAGTGGGGCCAGTACTCCAGAAGCCCCCCCACTGTTGCCCCCCAAGCACCAGGAAGGCAGAGCATCACTGCCCCAGACAGAGTGTTCCATCTAATACCTTATGGCTAAGAGCCACTGATGGGCCTCCATATGTTTATCCAGTTCCCTCTTGAAGCCACCCATGCTTGTAGCCGCCGCCACCTCCTGTGGCAGTGAATTCCACGTGTTCATCACTCTTTGGGTGAAGAAGGACTTCCTTTTATCCATCCTAACCCGACCACTCAGCAATTTCATGGAGTGCCCACGAGCTCTTGTATGGCGAGAAAGGGAGAAAAGTACCTCTTTCTTTTCCTTCTCTCTCCCAGGCATAATTCTGTAAACCGCTCTCACGTCACCCCGTCAGCCGTCGTTTCTCCAAGCTAAAGAGCCCTTAACCTCTTTTGCCTTTCTTCATAGGGAAGAAGAAGAGATTGGATTTATAACCCACCCTTCACTACCCAAAGGTGTCTCAGAGCGGCTTACAAGCTCCTTTCCCTCCCCCTCCCCACAACAGACACCCTGTGAGGTGGGTGGGGCTGAGAGAGCTCTGACAGAAACTGCTCTTTTTCCAGAACAGCTGTGCCAGAGCTTGTGACTGACCCAAGGCCACATCAGCAGGTGGAGGAGGAGGAGGAGATTGGATTTATACCCCGCCCTTCACTTGGAGTCTCAGAGTGGCTTACAAACTCCTTTCCCTTCCCCTCCCCACAACAGACACCCTGTGAGGTGGGTGGGGCTGAGAGAGCTCTGACACAGACTGCCCTTTTTCAAGGACAGCTGTGCCAGAGCTTGTGACTGACCCAAGGTCACATCAGCAGGTGCAAGTGGAGGAGTGGGGAATCAAACCCGGTTCTCCCAGATTAGAGTCCGCACACTTAACCACGACACCAAACTGTAGTCAGTGTGACGAGCCAAGCCCCCCCCCCCGCGCCATCACTCGTCTGTCATGCAGCCTCAGAGAGCCCCCCTTCCAAGGGACGGCTCCTTGTCCTTCTCCTCAAAAATCCATCTTTTGCTCAGTCGTTCTGAGCAACATGCCTGTCTGACGTTCCTGCTTTTGGCTGAAGGTCCGTTGGGCTTTTAAAGCTCTTGGAAGACTGAATGCACCTTTCTGCCTTGGCATTATAAAACAAACCATTGCGAATTGTGGAGTGCTGTAAGCTGGGTGGCCCAAGGCTACCCTGATCTTGTCAGGACTTGGAAGCTAAGCAGGGTCGGCCCTGGTTAATATTTGGATGGGAGCCCACCAAGGAAGTCCAGGGTCACTACGCAGAGAAGAAGGCTCTCAAGTTGCAAGTGGAGGAGTGGGGAATCAATCCTGGTTCTCCCAGATTAGAGTCCGCACACTTAACCACTACACCAAACTGGCGTTCCATCCCCTTCATCATTCTAGTTGCCCTTTGCGGCAACTTCTCCAGTGCAGGAATATCTTTTCTGAGGTGTGGTGACCAGAACTGTACCCAGTACTCCAAATGAGGCTGCACTATTGATTTAGACAGGGGCAATATGATACTGGCTGATCTTTTTTCAGTCCCCTTCCTAAGAATCCCCAGCAGAGCATTTGCAAGACTGGCAGATGGAGAGTGGTCCATGATCCAGGGCCGGCCCCAGCTTATTTTGCACCCTAGGCAAGGATCCCTTCTCCCCCCCCCCCCCCCCGCCTCCCCAGCCCCCGGGAGCCGGTGGCAAGGCTGCACGGGGCTTGGACCTCAGAGATCCAAGCCCTGTGCAGCCTTCTCTCTCCCCCCCCCGCCTCCCCAGCCCCCGGGAGCCGGTGGCAAGGCTGCACGGGGCTTGCTAGTGAGTGAGCCGGCCCTGGGTCCATCTGATGACTGTCGGTACACTTTATTGTTTTTGTTGCAGAGGGAGGGAGGAGGTGGATGAAAGAAAGGCTTGTTTCAGGTCAGGAGGAGCTGAGCACAGGGAGATGGGGGCGCGGGGTCTTGGGAGGCAAAGAGGAGAAGGAGAAGAAGAAGAGGAGGAGGAGGAGATTATGATGATGATGATGATGATGATGCTGACTGGGTTTATACCTTGCCCTTCACTACCCGAAGAAGTCTCAGAGCGGTTTACAATCTCCTTCCCCTTCCCCTCCCCACAACAGACACCCTATGAGGTAGGTGGGGGCTGAGAGAGCTCTTTCGAGGACTGCCCTTGAGAGAATAGCTCTGAGAGAACTTGTGACTGACCCAAGGTCACACCAGCAGCTGCATGCAGAGGCGTGAGGAATCAAACCCGGTCCTCCCAGATTAGAATCCACACACTTAACCACATCACCAAACTGGCTCTAGCAAGAAGGAAGAAATGTCCTTTCTCTAGTTCTGCCATGTTACCACCACTTCTACCAGGGATGTTGTTAGGAATTGAGATTCAAAATTAGCAGAGGTAGATAAAAGCAGCCAGACAAATATGTATTTATCTATAAAAAGATAACGTCACTAAATTAGGTAAAGGAACTCAGAGAACTAAAGTAAAAGAAGTCACCCTTACTAGCTCTAAGCTACATGTTGGTTCTCTGAGAACTTACCTTCAGATTCAGAGGGGGAAACCTCGAGGAGAGGGGACGAGGACCAATAAACGGAAACCTGTGGCTCTGTCCCTTGGCTCATCCCCAAACTAGAAGAAGAGATTGGATTTATACCCCACCCTTCACTACCCAAAGGAGTCTCAGAGCGGCTTACAAACTCCTTTCCCTTCCCCTCCCCACAACAGACACCCTGTGAGGTCGGTGGGGCTGAGAGAGCTCTTTTGAGGACTGCCCTTGAGAGAACAGCTCAGAGAGAACTTGTGACTGACCCAAGGTCACCCAGCTGGCTGCGTGTGGAGGAGTGGGGAATCAAACCCGGTTCTCCCAGATTAGCGTCTGCGCACTTCATCACCACACCAAACTGGCTCAAACGGGGAAATGGGGCGGCAGGAGGAAACCTCTCTGGACTTTTGCACAGGGACTGGAGAGGCGCCAAGGGTATTGGCGGCACCGTGTTTGGAATATCACTCCGCTCCAGGAGGAACCCGCGCAGGCTGTGCTGTCGCAGTGAAAAGCCGGCCTCTCTCCACCATCTGCTCTCTCCATCCCAGGCCTGCAGAAAGAAGCGTCTCCGAGGTCCAAGAAGAGGCACAAAGGGAAGTCCTCTTCCACGCCGATGCCTGCCTCCCAGCCTGAAGACCTTGCTCCGGAGAAGCGGCAGGCCCTCGAACATTATCTGCGGCTGAAAAGGTAGACGGGCAGCCGTAGTTGGGTGTGAAGAGCAGAGAATCGGCCGGGTGGCAGTGTGGGTGGATTAGAATCAAGGGAGTTCCTCCTTTCCAGCAGTGGCTCAGTGGAAGAGCCTCTGCTTGGCATGCAGGAGGTCCCAGGTTCAATCCCCGGCATCTCCAGTTAAAAAGGACCAGGCAGGAGGTGATGATAAAGGCCTCCGCCTGAGACCCTGGAGAGCTGCTAAGGGGAGGGGCCATGGCTCAGTGGCAGAGCTTCTGCTTGGCATGCAGGAGGTCCCAGGTTCAATCCCCGGCATCTCCAGTTAAAATGTCTGGCAGTAGGTGTTGTGAAAGACCTCCACCTGAGACCCTGGAGAGCTGCTAAGGGGAGGGGCCATGGCTCAGTGGCAGAGCTTCTGCTTGGCATGCAGGAGGCCCCAGGTTCAATCCCGGGCATCCCTGCTTAAAGGACCAGGCAGGAGGTGATGGGAAAGACCTCTCAGCCTGAGACCCTGGAGAGCGGCTGCCAGTCTGAGTAGACAAGACTGACCTTGATGGACTGAGGGTCTGATCATTCATTAGAAGGCAGATTCATATTCCTGTGCGTATCCTGCCTGATTTGGGGCTAGTCATGCACACAAGCGCGCTCTCTCTCCCCCCCCCCATCCCTCCCTGGCCTAACCCACAGGGTTGTTGTTAAAGTAAAATGAGAGAAGGAAGCTCTGTATACGCTTCACAGAGGAAGGGTGGAGAGACATCGACTGGACAGATAGATAGAGAACAAGGATCAGTTACACCCGGATCAACCAACCGCCTCTTCTGTCTTTCGTTCCTTCCCCCTGTAGCTCCGGATGGATCCAAGACGGCTCCGGGAAGTGGGTCAAAGACGAGAATGTGGAGTTCGACTCTGATGAAGAAGAGCCCCCGGGACCGGCTCCGTCTTGATGCTCCCCCTCCTCCCTTTTTATCTCTCCCTTCCCGAGGGAACACCCGGAAGACGTTTGTGCGCAGTTCTCCGTAGACGGTGTCCTTGGAAGAGTGTCAGCAGCAAGGCGGGAAACAGGAATTAAAGAGCAAATGTTTTTATAAATATAACTCAGGCCGGGGCTGGCTTCATGATGTGTGCACCTGAGTCTCACCCCACCTGTGTGGATCAGCAGGAACTGAGTTTTCTGAACACTTCCCAGTGCAAACCTTGGGATGGAGGGGGCGGGATCAAGTATACCTCGGGAGCCCAGCCGATAGTTGAGCCGTCCTTGTATCCTCAGAGAGAGGCGGGACAGGAAGTGGTTACTGGAGAGAGGCAGGGCAGGCAGAGAGGAATATAAGAACTTCAGAGAAGCCAATGTTGGATCAGGCCAATGGCCCACCCAGTCCAACACTCTGTGTCACACAGTGGCCAGAAATACCAGGGGCCATCAGGAGGTCCAGCAGTGGGGCCAGGACACCAGAAGCCCTCTCACTGTTGCCCCCCACCCCCTAAGCACCAAGGATACAGAACATCCCTTGCCCCAGACTGAGAGTTCCTATCTACACCTTGTGGCTAATAGCCACAGATGGACCTCTGCTCCAGATGTTTATCCAATTCTGCTATATTATCCATATTCTGCTATGGTCAGGCCTCACCTGGAGTCCTGTGTCCAGTTCTGGGCACCACATTTGAGGAAGGATGTTGACAAGCTCGAGCGTGTCCAGAAGAGGGCAACCAGGATGGTAAGAGGGTTGGGATCCAGGTCTTAGGAGGAAAGGCTGAAAGAGTTGGGTCTGTTTAGCCTGGGAAAGAGAAGGCTTAGAGGGGACATGATTGCCGCCTTCAAGTATTTGAAGGGCTGTCATGTAGAAGATGGAGCAGATCTATTCTCTCTTGCTCCGGATTGCAAGACTAGGTCTAATGGGTGGGAATTACAAGGGAATCGTTACCGGCTAAATATCTGGAGAAACTTCCTGTCAGAGTGGTTGAGCAGTGGAACAGTCTGCCTCGGGAGGGGGTGGACGCTCCTTCGCTGGACATTTTCAAGCAGAGGTTGGACGGCCATCTTTCGGGTATGTCGTAGGGTTCTCTTTCGGCTGTGCTCCTGCAGAGTGCAGGGGGTTGGACTAGATGACCTGCAAGGTTCCTTCCAACTCTCACATTCTATGATTCTATAATTCCCTCTTGTAGCTGTCCATGCTTGTAGCCGCCAACACATCCTGTGGCAGTGAATTCCATGTGTTCATCACTCTTTGGGTGAAGAAGGACTTCCTTTTATCCGTTCTAACCCGACCGCTCAGCAATTTCATGGAGTGCCCACGAGTTCTTGTCTTGTGAGAAAGGGAGAAAAGAACGTCTTTCTCGACCTGCTCTATCCCATGCATCATCTTATAAACCTCGATCATGTCACCCCTCAGCCGCCGTTTCTCCAAGCTAAAGAGCCCTGAGCGCCTTAACCTTTCCTCATAGGGAAAGTGTTCCAACCCTTTTATCATCCTAGTTGCCCTTTTCTGCACTTTTCCCAATGCTATAATATCCTTTCTGAGGTGTGGTGACCAGAACTGTACACAGGACTCCAAATGAGATCGCACCATCGATTTAGACAGGGGCATTATGAAGGCTGAAGGATTATACTGGCTACCAGTCATCCCCTCCTCAGCCCAATTCAAGGTGTCGGTTTTGAACTTTAAAAAGCCTTACATGGCTTGGGCTCACAATATCTGAAGGACGGTCTTTTCCCGTGTGTACCGGCCTGGGAATCGAGATCCTCAAGACCGTCCCACCAATCAAAGAAGCTTGTCAGTGCCCCAGGAGGTGGTGGCGACTACAAGCAGGGACAGCTTCAAGAGGGAATTGGGGGTGGGGGCAACAGTGGGAGGGCTTCTGGAGTCCTGGCCCCACTGCTGGACCTCCTGATGGCACCTGGTATGCAGGGCTGGCTCACTCACTAGGCGAACTAGGCGATCGCCTAGAGCGGGCCGGCCCTTAGGTGCGCCAAGATGCACCCGCCCCGTACTCTGGGAGTTTCTTGATTATTTGTGTTTTTCATTCTTCCTAAAATGCATTTATTTTTGAAAATTGGTGGGTGCATTGGGGGGGGGGGGGCACGAAGGGATCCTTGCCTAGGGTGCAAAATAAGCTGGGGCCGGCCCTGCTGGTATGTTTGGCCACTGTGTGCCACAGAGTGTTGGATTGGATGGGCCATCGGCCTGATCCAACAGTGGCTTCTCTCTTACGTTCTTATGTTCACACGAGACAGGGCCTTTTCGGTGGCAGCCCCATGACTGGAACAATCTTACCAGGGAGGTGTTCCTGGCCCTCTCACTTCTGTTCTTCAGGAGACCATTGAAGAGACTTTTGTTTTGGACTGGATTTGACTCGATTCATTTTTAATTACTGGCAATCCTAACTGAAGTTTTACACATAGACAGCTGTCTCTTATATGTCTCATAAGGGTTGTTTTATTTATACCGTAAGCTGCCCCGAGTGCCACAGGGTCGCTCATAAAAGTTTCAAGGTAAAGGTAAAGGTTCCCTTGCTCGAAAGCCAGTCGAGTCCGACTCTAGGGTTGCGGTGCTCATCTCCGTTTCCAAGCCGAAGAGCCAGCGCTGTCCGAAGACTTCTCCGTGGTCATGTGGCCGGCATGACTCAACACCAAGGCGCACGGAACGCTGTCACCTTCCCACCGAAGTGGTGCCTATTTATCTACTTGCAATTTCTTGCTTTCGAACTGCTAGGCTGGCAGGAAAAAGTTTCAAACGGATAAGTAAAAAATGCAGAAGGTGCAGGGAGCTGAGGAGAATCGGAGAGGCGATCCAGACGAGCGAGTGATGCCGTGAAAGGGGCGGGCGGGCAGAGGAACCCGTCCTGGAGGGGAAGGGAAACAGGGAAAGGCTGGGCTGGGGCGTGGCCGTGGCCAGAAGCCGCACAAAAGGAGGAGAGCTCGAGTCCACGCACTGATGTGAAAGGGAGAACCTGGAGTTTGCATCTGTGATTGAGTCAGGGGGGCGGTCTCTGACCCTCGACGGGACGGTCCCGGCTGCTGAGTACTGAGCACTCGGGGAAGGGGCCGCTTCTGAGGACAGCTGCCAAATTCCTTCTGACTTATTTCTCATTGAATAGACCGAGCTGCGTCTGGGTGTGGAGATGCCCGTTCCCAAAGGCCTTATGGGAAACTAGTCCAGGCTTGTCTTGGGGTAGCCATGTTGGTGTGCCAGCTTGCTGTAGTGGTTAGGGGCACGGACTCTAATCTGGGAGAACCAGGTTTGATTCCCCACTCCTCCTCTTGCACCTGCTGGATGACCTTGGGCAAGCCATAGTTCTGTCAGAGCTGTTCTTGAAAAAGAGCCGTTTCTGTCAGAGCTCTCTCAGCCCCACCCACCTCACAGGGTGTCGGTTGTGGGGAGGGGAAGGGAAAGGAATTTGTAAGCCCCTCTGAGACTCCTTTGGGTAATGAAGGGCGGGGCATAACTCCAATCTCCTCCTCCTCCTCCTCCTCTTCTTCTGCCAGTTTGGTGTAGTAGTTAAGTGCATGGACTCTAATCTGGGAGAACCAGGTTTGATTCCCCACTCCTCCTCTTGCACCTGCTGGATGACCTTGGGCAAGCCATAGTTCTGTCAGAGCTGTTCTTGAAAAAGAGCCGTTTCTGTCAGAGCTCTCTCAGCCCCACCCACCTCACAGGGTGTCGGTTGTGGGGAGGGGAAGGGAAAGGAATTTGTAAGCCCCTCTGAGACTCCTTTGGGTAATGAAGGGCGGGGCATAACTCCAATCTCCTCCTCCTCCTCCTCCTCTTCTTCTGCCAGTTTGGTGTAGTAGTTAAGTGCATGGACTCTAATCTGGGAGAACCAGGTTTGATTCCCCACTCCTCCTCTTGCACCTGCTGGATGACCTTGGGCAAGCCATAGTTCTGTCAGAGCTGTTCTTGAAAAAGAGCCGTTTCTGTCAGAGCTCTCTCAGCCCCACCCACCTCACAGGGTGTCGGTTGTGGGGAGGGGAAGGGAAAGGAATTTGTAAGCCCCTCTGAGACTCCTTTGGGTAGTGAAGGGCGGGAGATAAACCCAATCTCTTCTTTTTCTTCTTCTCCTCCTCCTCAGCCAGGTTCAAGTCCCACAGAACCTTAAGAGAGCAGCAAGACTTCCAGGGTTCAAGTTCTGAAAGTCTAAAGTTCTCAGAATCTTTGTATCTGGTGGGGGAACTTTGACTCTTGGAAAAGCCGTCCCCCCGGAAATCTACCGGACTCGATTCCCGCCGTAGTCCAGGGTGTACGTTTTCGCTCCAGCCTCACAGACGTGCCTGGGACAGCGTGGTCCGCCTCTGCCGGCGGGCTTGACACCACCGCGGTCTTTTAGTGTGTCCCCTTCCATCACCAGCTTGCGTGACCTTTAGGGCTCGTGACCTTCTCCCCCAGCTGTCGGTGTGAGCTGACGGGAGGAGACCTGCCCGGTTGAGTGGCGCCTTCGTCTCAGGGCGGAGGGAGAGCTCTCGAGAGACACGTGACCGATCCAGCCCAAAAGGCCGAAGGACAGACCGGGGGTGGGGGTGGGGTAGGAGGACTGGAGTGGCCATATTTAAGATCTGGCCTCCTTCCTCTGCCTTGCGGGAGTCTTTCCAAACTTTCTGGCAACCCGATCCTCTCCGTCTCCATTTCATCTGCTGATCCCTTGGGGGGGGGGGGTTATAAATACACGGAGAGGAGGGCAGGATTCTCCCACTCAGGCAAACACCACCTGCCTAGAATAATTCTCCGCCGTGGCACCCCCTCCAGAGTGTCCCGTCGAAGGCACTTCTACTTTCGCGCTCTTTACACTAAGGGCTTGTTTTTCCCTTATGGGCAAGAAAAGCTCGTTCTGAAGATCTCCTGCCCTGGAGAATCTGCAGCAGGGGTCCCTAACATGGTGCCCACGGGCGCCAAGCCAAATCTTATTGGAAAGTGGGTGGGCAGGGCCAGTTGTTTTCCAGAAAGCCTTCCGATTGAGTGTTCGGGTGTTTTAGAATGGTTCTGGCAGCCACTGCCATCACAGCACTGTGCGACTGAAAGTAAGGTGAGGCAGCCATTTTTGTGACTGTCTTCACCTCCTTGCAGCAGCCATTTTATGACTGTCTCCGCCTCCTGCAGCAGTTATTTTTGTGACTGTTTCCGCC